CGGTTTTGCACCAGTCTTCCGGTACCCGCTTCAGTTCCCAACATAAATTAAACAAGGTGTACAGCAGGCCTGCAACCACACCCTCACCAGCCCTTAGCATTTCGAGTGATACTCTATCATATCCAGCTGCCTTACCTGCTTTCATGCTTTTCATTGCTTTCATTATTTCATTTACACTTATCTCCCTACCTCTCTCCACTTTTTCCGGAATTTCTATTTCACTTATTTTAGATGACTCTTCACTCTTAAACACGCTTTCAAAGTATTCCTTCCATCTCTTTAAATTCGAAACTTCATCATTCAACATTGTGCTTCGAGTAGTTCTATTTTATTTTTAAGCTCTTCGTTTTGTGCCGACAGTGAAGCTATGGTGATTTCTATGTTATTATTTGTAGATTTAATTTCCATTAGTGCCGGGTAGATTTTCTTTAACTCCTCTTGCTGTGGTGACATTAGAGATGATATCAGTGATTTGACTTTCTGTTTGAAAGCAAGGAAGTCAGAGTCGCAATAGCATTCTCTTGGTCTTTTACTTAGTTGGAAAATGAAGTATATATTCCATAATTACGCGAATTTTTAACGTATCCATGATGACGAAAAAGATTCAAATGCGATGAAAACATAACGCTAATCAATAAACAAATTACTAAGTTTGAAAAAAGAATTTCAAGTTTTTAAAATACATTTAATTTGAAATTAGAATTCTAAGCCAAAAGAAAATTATTTTGATTTGAAATGGCCAGTACTGCAGAGCGGCAATTTACGTGGGTAAAGACCTATCACATTAATTCCCTTAAACTAAATATAATAAATTTGACGATTTTATAAATAATTATTTATGTATTATGTTATCTCAAAATATTCTGTTACACTATACAAATATTTAATAAGTCATGATTTTGGCGCCTTCATAAAGAGAGGAAAAGACAACTCCCTGATATCAGAGGGAATTTTGTTATAAATTTTAATAGTCGTCACGTAGCATTTATTTTTCAAAAAGTGAGCTTTTGCATGATGGAACCATTTTAAATTTCTGAAACAATTGTGGATGATTACTAACAAAAAGTTTTACTTCTAAGACAGACATAATATATAATACGAAACTGCCCAATTTTGTGCAAATGCTTTGTATGTGTGACTTCAGATTGCAATGTTGGTCAAGAATAATACCCAAAAATTTAGTTACCTCTGTTTTTTGAATTTTTTGTTTTTGGCAAACTATTTGGAAATTCAGTCGATTTGAATATAATGTGTAATTTATAATTATAATGTGTATAAACTTTAATTTTAATTGACACACAGTTTATTTTGGAGTAGCCATTCATTTGTATATTTAATTGTTTCTTTGATGATTTGGTTGTAGCTTACAGCTTTATTGTCACGGTTTGGAATTATTACTGATAACTCATTTGCATATAAAAACTGTTACCTTAGTTAATTAATTTAGGTAAATCATTTATATAAATTAAAAATAACAATGAGCCCATGACGCTCCCTTGTGGGACACCGTATTTATCATATAGAAAAGGTCATTTAAATGAAATTATTTCATGATTATGACTTTCATTAATTTATCTTACTGATTTCTACGCATTGCGGACAATTAGAAAGGTAACTGCTAATCCCGTTCAGAGCATTCCCTCTTATACCGCATCTTTCACATTTAGTCAAGCGTATCTCATGATCCACAAGATGAAAAGCCTTGCTCATATCGAAAAATACGGACACAACTGGCACCTTCTTATCTATGTTTTCTGTTATTGTTTTTTTTTTATTAGAGAGTAGGCTGCAAGAGTTATCGATTTATTCACCTGGAAACCGTTTTGCTCTTCATCTATGATTATTAAAAAAATCTATAGTTCTTTTTATCATTTGCCTCTTCATTTTTTTAAGTATAAGGACGAGAGTTATTGGAAGTTAATTGTCCATATCTTCAGTATTATTTATTTTATGTAAAGGTTTTACTATATACCGCTTTAGAGCTTCTGGAAATACCTACTCTTTGAACAAAGGAAATATTTTTGAGGAAGATCAAAACAGGTGCAAGTTTGTTCAGCTCATGATTTATACAATAATGTAGGCCTGACGGAATTCCCTCAATCGCGCTGAGGACATATGTTCCATAGCTGGCACCGGTTATTACGTGTCTTATTCGGTACTTCTACTCTCCAGGCGTAATTCCGAGCTTATGGAAGACAGCTTTCGTGAAGAAGTTTTAAAAACTTTATAACATAACGTAGTCGCGTATTAGGTTAACGTTAAGCGCAGTTATCTTCTAGGGTAATAAGCAGGATTCCTTCCTGGGAATTTCTTGCGTTAGAAAAGGTCAGAGTTTTAGTAAAGTAGAATGATTTGAAAAAGATATCCTTTTTAGGTAAATAACAAAAAGAGGTGAGAATGAAATTAAAATGATTAATTCTAATAAGTATTCTGCAAATAAATTGAATTTCAAAAATTGAATAAAACTATGTTTACGGATTTTATCGCGTTTAATTTACTTATATTAATTCGCGACGTTTCGGGTGTTTTACAGCAACCCATGGTCACGGGGGGACTGAGATGTTTGACGTCCCGATGTCATAGTTAGCCTACCGGCGGCTACCTTCACTTTTTGAATATTAATTAAAAAAAATAATACGTCTCAGTCCCAATCCATTTATGTATATTTATATACATAAATGGATTGGGACCGAGACGTTTTACTAGCTCGCCAGGCAGACGTTGTTCTGCCCTTTCCAACGACCCTTCCTATATAAAAAACTATCCTATCTCATATATCATCAATCAAAATGCATACCGTGTGCAAAATTTCATTGCAATCAGTTCAGTAGTTTAGGAGTCCAACGCGGACAAACAACGTGACACGTAATTTTTATATATAAAAATAGTTCGCCAAGCAGACGTTGTTCTGCCCTTTTCGACGACCCTTCATATAAAAAATCCTTAAATTATATATATATATATATATATATATATATATATATATATATATATATATATATATATATTATTTAAATTTTTGCTATTTTGCGACACATGTAACACACTATTATCACGATATCATTCTGGCGACTATAAGACGTTAATTGAATTTAATTTTAGCATTCGTAGTAAAAGGTCAATGCATATATTATAAAGGTAACGTCGTAAACAAGTAACGTAAACAAGCGTTTATCTTATGGATTTGAGACGTGGTCCTTCACTGCTGGCCGTATGAGGAAGCTCAAGATCGCTCAGCGAACTATTAAGAGGGCTATGCTCGGAGTTTCTGTGCGTGATAAGCTTAGAAATGAGGATATCCGCAGTAGAACCAGAGTAACCGACATAGTCCAACTGATTAGTAAGCTAAATTGGCAATGGGCGCGCATTATATCTCGAAGAGCCGACAACCGATGGGGAAGAAAGGTTCTCGAGTGCAACCTCGTACCGGTAAGCGAAGTATTCCGTAGACTAGATGGAGTTACGACCTAGTAAGATGTGCTGGAAGTAGATGGATGCAGGTGGATCAAGGCTGTGCTTTGTGGTATTTTTGAATCAATCATCAATAACGAAGAATATCAAGGGCATGTGAAGTCCACATACGTGGCGGACTCTTCCTTGTCCTAAAACACTTAGTAATGAAAGGGACCTGTGAGCAGCAATGAGGCATACCTATTGGCCCGTCACTTTACTTTATTTACATTAAAATAAACGAATAACATTTGAACATGGTTAAAATAGTCATGTTAAAAATAATTTTAACGTGGTAGAGCCAAGCTCAGCTATATTTATAATATAGTTGTAGCACGAATGGGTCGGCTCGACCGGGAAGGACCACGCTCTCACAGAATACCAGCGTAAAATAGCGGCTTAATGCTGCTGTGTTTCGTATCGTGAGTGTAGAGAACCGGAGACCCTTTTTACTGAAAAAGAGGCATTCCATCTTAGTCCTCAAGGCTGACAACGCATCTGCATTTTGATTCGCAAACGAGGATAGATGTAGATGTCATGTGGACTGTGTGCTCGTTTGTGACCCTATTTCTATAAAAAAAAATCACTATGTGCATGTGCTTATTGTAAAATTTATCATTAGCTACGTGAACTTTTATGACAAAAACATGGAAACATGGAATTAGATGTCATTTATCTGAAAATGTTCCTTATCAAGTTTGGCATCTCATGAATGAAGAGTAGTAGTTTTTAAACTTATTTACTAAAACAAAAAGTAAGAAATATTTTTTTCTTTAGTAAATAAGATTGTTTATAAAGTATAATACGGAGTACATGCTCCAGACCGAATTCCAGTCACGGTGGCCAGTCTCAACGAAGAAAAGCGCTCTGTGCAAGACAGGATTAGAGAACCCAAGTGTATGTTCTTGTAGTTCGTAGTCCGATGGGACGGTAATCCGACGACCAGGGAGAAATCAAGCACAGGAGCAATGGCTTTACGTGATTTCCGAGGCACGGGGTTAAAACATCGCCAACTTCCTGACTCCGGCCTGCTACTGAAAATTTCTTATCAGAAAAATCCAATATCTGGTCCCAATAATTGGTCCGACCCGGGATTCAAACTCACGAGCATTACGACCACCAGACTAATAAGGCAGTCAGTGGTCTATTTGGTCGTAAACGCGGTATTATAATAGGTTAATAATGTAAAGTGGTTACGGGGGAATAACATAATTCATCGTCATCACTACAGCGCATCATAAGTCCAGTTATTGAATATATTACCACAAAACATTGTACTGAGTACTGTCCCGCATATTGCCACAAAGGAAGGTCACACCTATCCATTACTTGAGTGCACGTTTTATCAGATCGCCACTTTGTCTAGCTCTACACTTGGCTTGCCAACAAGGCTGCCTCTTAAGAAACTCTTTCATCCATCGGTTTTCAGTTCTTCAAGCTATATAACTCAATGCTAGTTCACCTGATATAGGTCATTAACCAGACATAATTGTTTAATCTGAAATTTCAAAAGATCATAATATACACTTTTTTCAATGTTTTATTTTCAGCGTTAGTGTGTTCCAGTGAAATATGGTTCGTGTTCACCATAACGGTGATTTCGGGGCTGGTGCGCTGTTCGGTACAGGTGCTCTTTCCTCTCGTCCTTGTCACAGCCGCACCCGACAGGTTTCCAGCTGCATTGGCGCTACACATCATCTTTTCGGGATTTCTGATGCTTATTGCTGACCCTTTAATAGGTAATTATTTTTATATATCAGTCCACTTAGCCGCGTATTGGTGGCATAAGGGAATCCACTACTCCAGATCTTCCCATGCGTGTCGGAAGAGGCGACAGAGGTAAACTGTAACAACAGATGGGCTGGGCTGCATCTTCCTGCTAACAACTCAACAATAATAAAAAACTACGGCTTCTGGCACTTGTCCCACCGCCGACGAGGAAACGATTGGTTATCGACTATTTTCTCGTTCAAGAAACAACTGCTGGACACTTCTCATATCTCAGAGGGTTTTAGGGCAAGGAAATGTCCCAATGCGTGTTGGCAAACTTCACGTGTCTTCAAAATATTTTTTTCTTATTTCTCAGACATGCAGGTTTCCTCACTATGTTTTCCTTCACCACCGATCACGTGGTAATCAGCACTTAAAATTGCAATTAACAATTTCATTGATGTCGGTGGGGATCGAACCCGGGTTGCTCGAGAACTGTGAAGCTTACAGGGAGCGCTAACCATCTGAGCTGCCACGGCTCACGTGTCAATAAAAGAGATCCATATATTAATAGTTGATCGCTGGCTGCTCACACTGCCGGCGAGAACTCTCTCCACTAGTTTGTCAAAGATAAAAACTGGCTTAGCGATGCACGCTTGGCGGTCAGAACTCACGCCGAGAGAGCCTGCGGTCATTTTACTCTACAAACACTCGCTTATAGCCCAGTGACAAAACTAAGGAAACTACACTCTCGCTCGCTGCTTGCCAACTCTTATCTAGTTTCTAGCTCTGCTCGCTTCTCATTCATCGTTGGCGGTGTGACAAGTGCCTAAAGTTCACCTGCCAAGCGTAGCTGCTATGAGATACCCTCTATTAGCAAATAAATGGGAAAGGGTTGTGTTTAGCAGTTGAATTTTCATGGGCCGTAATGGTATGGTAGGCCACTTACTTAAAATAAATTGAGACCATTCCAAACAAAATAATTTAACAAGCTGATTAAGTAATACAAAGCTATATTAAGCTATATTTTTGTCTTTGTATAGCAAAAAAAGCTTATCCTTTTATGCCCCAATCACCGCTGTTGATTGTTGCTGTTCACATGTTCTATTTTAAATTGTAAGAGCAAATATTTTAAACTTAGGACAGGATTATAGTGCCCAAGGGCATGCACAGGTGCATTCTCTATTCCCTCACTCTCTTAATCCGATGGGACGGAGAACCGACACGAGCCGAAAAAATTTATTATTAGGTATAAGGAAAAATGAAAGCACCTAAAATTATTTGTTTCAGGCCTCATATATGAAGCAACCGGGACATACCTGTATTGTTTCTTAGCAATGAGTGTATGCTGTCTCATTTGTGTAGTGCTATGGACTATAGAGTATATAGTGTACCGTAAAAAAACAAGCTGAATTATTATCGCACGGAAGAAAATGTTGTTTACTTTAAGGAGTATTAAAATTATAATCATAATTATAAGGATTACAATAAGGTTTCATATACAGGATTATTTTTTAAAGAGTATCCAAATTTTATAATTAAGTTTAAATATATAAATAATGATATAACGTTATTGCAGTTTTTGAAAATATGAGTAAATAAGGCTATTACTTTTGTTTGAATTTATCCGAAATTTAATGTGATTTATGGTTAACAACTACACGTACGCGCGCTCCTCTGTGTGCGATACAATTCTAAACGTTTTTGCCGACCGATCGACCCTCACAAATGTGTGCGTGCAAAGTAAAATAGTACGTGTTAAACGGACCAGGGATTCTGAATTTAAAAGATGAAAAGGACAGAATGTTTGAGATTTAATTAATTAATTTTTCTTTACCATTCGCCTATATTACTTATTCTGAACGTTCTCTGCAAATTTGGGCGTATATTGCTAAATAACCCTGCATATTATATAGGCTATAAATATGAAATTTTATTTTTGTAATCTTACTGTCATCCTTAAGGGAAGTAGCGGGTCATTCCCAACACGAGTATCCTCTGATTACTCACTGGGAAGTCTCAACAATATCTAGTAAACAAGATTACCGAAATAAAAGCAAATAAACACAAACTCATTGTTTGTTGACATTGATGGAATATAGTAATTTTGTTGTGGGCTAACTACTAGGTACTAATGAAATAATCTTGTAAGGGAGAAGGCGGAAATGAGAATAACTTAATGAAACTTAATGAAACTCCATAAAAAACGAAATTGATTTTCTAGACATTATTACAATATTTTGTATTTACTATGGCCAACAGCACAGATTAAAGAGCCTCTCTTTAAACTGTGCTAATAGCCTATCGGTCTAAAACGCTACTTCTAATCTTAGAACAAAACTTTGATTAAAATAAGCTTGAAAATATTTCAACCTCGGTACTTACAATTTATATAAAATAAAGAAATGGATAAACCAAACTACGAATATTCCTGAAAGTAGAAGAATTAAAAAGCTTAAAATCTGAAAAAAGTTGAAGAACACGACACTAGAACAAGAGAAAAAATTTCATTTAAACATAACTTTTCAATGATGATGACCATCTGCGTGACAAATAAGTTCACCTCAGTCCCAACTAGCGACATCTGTTGAGCGTAAGATTATTAGCTCTCATTGTAATAATCGTGTAGGACAGTGAGTGTCCAACAATCAATCAACCTAGAGAAAATGGACTGAGCGTAAGCCTAAAAAAAGTGACCATTCCCTAGAAAGAGACAAAGCGACTGTGCGGCCAATACCTCTCTTTCCTGCAAACCTAATTGGTCCACGCCCTGCAAGCCAGTGATGTGGACCAACCAGAATTCTAGAAAGAGACAACTACTAGCCGCACATTCGCTTTGTCTCTCTCGCACTTTTCGGTCTGTATTCACTGCACAACAGAATACGGAACGCACATTCCATTCTCTCTATGTCTATATTCTCAACTGTCAAATAACCTTTTAGTGAACTCGGTTTAAGACTAAAGAGACAGTATACGTGAACTACGGGAATCCGCTCAAAGTTCACTTATTATACCTTATACTTAAGTGTATCTTGTAGCAATGACCAAACTAGAAATAAGTAGTTTTTTTTTTTCGAAACCGCTTTCAGTAACTCCTTGGGTTGAAAGTAAAAAATGTAGCTTGTTCTAAAAAATCATGAATTAGGTTGTTTCAGTGACGTCCAAAAATAAGCATTATCGCACAAATTAAAAAAAATAATAGGTGGCAATGTGATGGCAATAGCACATTCGTCTACGGGCGCAAAGCAGTAAACGATTTTTTTCTAAAGAAGAGTAGTGACAGAAGGATCCGATTTACAACCGTAAAAGTTCGCCAATTGCTATTTTTAAATGGCTTTAAAAAGTATTCGTACCATAGATAATTATATATAACTTTCATTACCCACAAGAACATATTATCATTTTCAATATCATTGCCAATATAGCCTCCTTACTGGTTTCATCTTTTTTTAAAGCTGTTTGCAGTAGATCTTCTGTATCGCAGACTTATTTATTTATTGCACTATATTGTACTAGGCCATTCTTTCCCAGTCAACCATTTAAAATTAAACAGAGGCGGTGAATCAATAAATCTTAATAAAAAACGAAAGGGATGGTGAAAAATATATTTTTTATAGGAGGGGGCAAACGAGCATGCGGCTCACCTGATGGTAAGTGACTGACGCCGCCCATGAACAACTGCAACACCAGGGGAACCAGGGGAATTGCAGATGCCTTGCCGGCCTTTTAAAAAATATTTCTTAGAGATAATGTATATGGCAAAACAACGTTTGCCGGGTCATCTAGTAACTTATAAAACTTTCTGACTCGATACTACGCTGACATTAAAAACGCGCGAGATAGGGTCTCGCTGTAGGGTTACCAGATGAAAATTTTTAAAAATCCGGAGAAGAGGCCTGATTTTCATTTAAAAATCCTGAAATTTTTTTACAGTTTGAGAAGAAAACCTTACTTAAAAAGGTATCTTCACATATTAAGTATGATAAAACTGTTTAAGCACCTACTTGGATAAATAAGTTTTGATTTTAATTGTGGAATTATTACCAAAGGAAAATTATTTTTAGTTTGTTTAACTTTTTATTAAAGAGATGTTTAAAATGTAAGCTGTATTATATTGAAAGGTCTAAAAATCCTGAGATTGCATGAGATTTGCAAAATCCAGCCGCAATCCTGAGAAGAGTCTAAAAATCCTGAAATCTCAGGACATATCCTGAGGTATGGTAACCCTATCTCGCTGTCAATAGAAACAGAAACAGAAACAGAAACTATTTTATTCAATATAGATTATAAATAATACTTATTGAAAGTCACTCTTTTGTTTGATTACCACTGGTTCGGAAAAAACCTCTGTCCTGGGAAGAACCAGCAAGAAACCCAGCGGGACTTTTTTTTTAAAATAACAGCTTACAATCATGATGTTACACAAATTAACAACACAACAAATTAGAAATAGCTTGGTAGCGATCACCTCATTTCCAGGGGTTATTATCATCCATAAATTCCTTAATATTATAATAACCCTTTTTATACAAACTTAGTTTAATAAAGTTTTTGAACTTTGAACAGGTCAAGCTTTGTATATTTTCTGGAATTTTGTTGTAAAAGCGTATACATCGCCCCAAGAATGAATTACTGACTCGATGGAGTCGAGTAACTGGTACTACTAGCTTGTGTCTGTTCCTAGTATTTACAGAATGAATATCACTTATTTTTGTAAAACTACTTTTATTTTTGTGTACGTACATTACATTTTCGTAAATGTATTGAGAGGCCAAAGTTAATATATTAATTTCCTTAAATTTTTGTCGCAGCGACTCTTTAGGCTTTAAATCATAAATTGCTCTTATGGCCCTCTTTTGCAAAACAAATATAATTTCAGTGTCAGCTGCGTGTCCCCATAGCAAAATACCATACGACATTATGCTATGGAAGCAGCTGAAGTAAACTAGTCTAGCTGTTTCAACACTGGTTAGACTTCTAATCTTTTTTACAGCATATGCTGCAGAACTAAGTCTGCTTGCTAGTTTTGATATATGGGGGCTCCATTGAAGCTTCGCGTCTAGTGTGATTCCAAGAAAAATGGTGGTATCTACAAGACTCAGTTTCTCCCCATTTAAAATAACATTAGTATTTAATTGTTTGACATTTGGAGTCACGAATTTCATACATCTTGTTTTAGTGCCATTTAAATGCAAATTATTAACATCGAACCAATTTACTAATTTAGATATAGCATTATTTACTTCGTCATATTTTATTTAAGTGTCATCTGCAAATAATACTATATCATGGTTATCCCCTACTATGTAAGGTAAGTCATTAATGTATACAAGAAACAGAAAGGGGCCGAGAATTGAGCCTTGAGGCACGCCCATTTGTACCATCGATCCGGAAGAGCTCATATTGTTAATGACAACTTTTTGCGTTCTCTTACTTAAATATGAAATAATTAATTTAAGGGCATCACTTCTTACACCGTAGTGTTGAAGTTTCCTGATTAATGTTTCATGGTGAACACAATCGAAGGCCTTGGATAGGTCACAAAATATACCCAAAGCATCCTGTGAATTCTCCCATGCATTAAAGCAATGCCATGCAAAAAAATAAATACGACTTGGACTTTTTACGAAATACAACGTATTTCTATCCTAATCTAGTACACAATGTGAACAATCCTAGCTATCTAACGTGTAAATATAATTGTTGCTAATTACTAAGCTGAAATGTCAGATGTTACACATCTTCAGCGACTACTGTAAGGCTCGCTCGTTTTATTACTGTAGTGCCCAGTACCACATGCGGACTTACGTTCTCCCTTACGTTTTAAACGTAGATTAACAATATCCTTCATAAAATGTTTTCCTGATGTGCCAACAAAAATCACCAACTCATTATTCTGTAATTGTCTGATTACACTATTAACATTGTTATGTGAAATTATCGCTTTAATTAGTTAAAAGTTATCAAAGGTTTTGAAGTTTAATAGTTATTTTCCTAAGAATAACTCTAAACAGGGCCTTAGCTATCTACAATATCGTTCATATCCAAAAGAAAATAATTTTTTTTTGATAATTATGAACTCATATTTACTTTAAGTTTCCAATACCATTGGCAAAATCGCTCTGTTTTTGTCTTCAATTTTACCCGAGAAATATTCACCTTCATATATAACTATTACATAACAACCTGTTTTTAAATCTTTAACAGAAACTTTACTGCTAGAAGACGCCAGTGAAATTAAAGGCATATTTTCAAGATCCGATCCAGAGTGCGAAAGAGGTCTTTGACTCTTTTTTTGTGGCCTTTTATGAAAGTAAGTTTCGGTCTTCGTTTTCCAGTCACCATATTAATTTTGCGTTCCGTATTCTCTACAGTTGAATCACTATCTTCATTCCATTCGCTGTCACCACTT